AATTATCGTATAATTGATGGTGAAAAAAAATCTGTATCTGGTCTCAGTACACCATCAGATCATGCTGCTTATGTCTGGGAAAATTGTGTTATATCGTCAAATCCAGAAAGCGTAGCGATAGTAGCTCATAGTGCTGGTGGTGGCGTAACTATTGAACTGGTAATTGATATTTAATATGAAAATGTTTCGATTTATATCTTATATTAATTTTCTACTAACAGGCAAGACGTTTTCCGGATTTCTTTAAGCAAAAAGTTTTTGGAGTTGCGTTTACAGATTCAGCACATTTTGGTATGCCAAGTGAATTGCAGCAACTATTATCAGACAAAGCATGCAATTGGGTATCTAGCAATCAGCCTTTGGATAAGGTTTTAACAACTTTTAAAAATGACTTACCGTGTCGTTCTGCAGGTTGAAAAGCTTTGTTTAATATATACTATAATTCTAATTGATATATATATATATAATAAAATCGTTATCTAAAATATATATTTTTCTAGGTCATGGCCAACATGAGTGGACCTCTTACACTGCAATCGATGCGGTATTTAAATATTTAGAAGAAAAGTTTGAACAATTTACTATTGATAAAAAGCAGTAGATTTACAAAATATGGACAAAATCTGTAAAATGCAGTAATTATCTTAATATATATTATACTTAATAAGTCAATGGTTTGATACTAAAACGCCAACTTTGGCATTCGTTAATAATAATCATTTTTTGCGCTACAAATTCAGAATACAAACGCCATTTGTCAGCATAAATCAAGTAAAATTTAACATATAATTTCGTTTTTACACTATAAAAATATATCTTTTTAGTTATGAACACTACCAAGTGGTCAAATATGTCAATAACATCGACATCAATACATTTAATTTGATTTGATATTTTACACATACAATATATTGAAACTTAATCTCATTGATGTGGATAACACATTTAGATAAAAAAGCCACTGAGTATAGTGGGCCTTACTTATATTTGTATAATAAAAACTGACACTCTGCAAACACACACACTGTGTTCACATAGAACTCAAGGATATGCTGTACAATAAAAAATAACCATAAAAAACTGATAACGGTAAGCGTTAAAAATCACTACTTTTGTTTTTCTTTCTTCTTCTTAATATTAAGGGGGTTGTTGGGTTGTTGTGTGTGTCCTAAAGTACTGGTCAATATGTGAAGTCACCACTTGTTTCGAGTCGATTTTGAATGCCTCATATCACACGTCATAAGCATAAGTGTCATAAAAAATAACACATACTTAACATTAGATAGGAAGGAAAAGTGCCATCATATACACTTAGCTTGTGGTATAAATGTCCCTAGGGAGTTTGATATTGCCTTATGGGTTCAAAAGTTATTGACTAGTCTTATTAAAGTTAAAGCTGTTGATGATATGATGTCATTAAACAGTCATAATAATATTTTTTTTTAGATTCGTAAATTATGCTATTTAGTTTTTAGTTCAATTTGTTATTAAAATATTATTAAGTATTTATTTATTATACGAGTGCATGTTAAAAGTTTAAAATTAGTTATATATATGTATACCATTTATAGCTTTATTTGTTCCGTTGCATGTATTGAAAGAATTGAAAGTATATATATATTAATAACATATAAGTTATCAGTGATTAGATTGTAATAGTCAAACCTTAGTAGGATCGTATGGTAACTATTACAGTTATTGGTATAAGGTTGTTTAACATAAGTTAGATCTGTAGATGTAAACATTTTATATTCATTTGTAAAATACCTAACTAAAGCTCATAGAAGTAATAACCGTATTTGAAGTATTGAATGAATATATTAGGAATTTCAGACTATTTTAAAGGCTTAGCCTTAAAACCTAGCAAGGATTTCGAATTTTTCCTTAAACTTTATTAGCCTTAAAAGTTTAGTAGACTCAATGTGAGAACAGTTACAGACAAACTCTAATTTGTATATTAAAAAGTTAATATCATATCTAATTATTTATGTTAACTGCACAATAATTGTGTTGGTATAAATCGCGTGATCGGCCTTTGGTCTTCTGTGACAAGTGACTCCCGAAACCATTATAATTATGATATGTAGTTTGTAAGACACAACACGGCGATCCATAAAAGGCACTGTTTTGGCCGGTCTGTAAAATTGTCTGTAAAAATGGTTTTCGGTTCTACCGTTTTTTTTTTTGTTTTTTTTTTGAAAAATATGGGTACCAGTAAAACATATTTTTCTGGTTTGTAGTACGTTTGAGGTTGAAAAACGTTGATATAATGTACCGATTATGTGTAGGTTTTTTGTTTTTTTTTCACAAATATTTTTCACTTAATTTGGATTTAGTTTAGGTTGATAGGGTTGAATAGTACAATATAGTACATCTAGATACTAAGAATCGTGTATATTCTTAGGGCCGTGTTATGCAGAGTGTCGCGGCACGGTTGCCACTTGAAAATTTTTTTCTGTACCAAAATTGGTTTAAAAAGGTACCATTTCTGTAAAAAAAGGTCCAAAATTTTTTTGGACCTTTTTGTTTTCTCGTTCTTTGTTTTTCATAGTGTTATAAATGAACAAAATATAAAATAGTGCAAAGTTGCATTTATAAAAAAAATTAATTGGAAATATCCACAATAAAGTTGGGTCGTCAAAAATGTACCATTTTTTGAACGTGAGTACCAAACGAAAAAAATAAAAAAAAAAGTACCAATTTTGGTACTAAAGTACCATAAGTGGCAACCGTGTGTCGCGGCCAATGTATGAAACAATTGTTGTTGTTCAATACAATTTTAAAGTGGCGAGTAGAGAAA